TTCCCTTCTCCTCCCAGAAGCTTCTTCAGTTCTGATTGGATGGAGGGGAAAGGGAAGAATTTATATTCCTTGCAGACAGCTGGTCATTTGCATCCTTTTAGAGTCATTAAGGCCCCTTGGAGCTTTGTCTATGTCCTCAGGATGCTTTTTCCAAGAAGCAACTGGACTTCCTGGTTGTTCTTTGAAGACATTTCGCTTCTCCTCCAAGAAGCTTCTTCAGTTCTGATTGGATGGAGGGGAAAGGGAAGGATTTATATTCCTTGCAGACAGCTGGTCATTTGCATCCTTTCAGAGAGTTGTTGAGGCCACTTGGAGGTTTGTCTGTCTGTGTCCTAAGCATCGTCTGAGTAGTGCAAATGGGTGTGGAGCCTTCTTGGAACTGCTGAAAGGACGGTGTGTAGGAGACGGGATGATATATCCCTCCCACTCTGTTGAGAGAGGCCTGACCCTAACCCTAACCTAATTTTGACACAGAGGGACTTTTTGACCCCCTTTTTCAAACCAGACGTCCTCTATGTCCAAAATGTGGACTTTGCTGTCTTCAAAAAGGGGGGCCTTTGTCTTTTAAATACAGATGGGCTGCTGAATCTTGTCCTGATGAATTTCTTCTCCTAGGTTTTGCCATCTGTTGATGCAGTGGTTGTTTTGTTTCTCTCTCTAAAAAGGATACAAATGACCAGCTGTCTGCAGGGAGTATCAATCTTTACGTTCCCCACCATCCTGCCTGAGCTGCGTTACGACTGTCATGACTTATGACCGGGGGTGGGATACAAATATTATTACTACCGGTTCTGTAGGCATGGATAGGTAGGCATGGCTGGATGGCCATGGCCATGTGACTGGGTGGGCATGGCTTCTTTCTGGCACCAGCCCCTCCCCCCACACTCCATTTTTTGGCCTCCTGGGCTTCAGGGAAGCCTCCCGGGAGCCAGTTTTTGCTCCCATGAGGCTTCGCTGTGGCCCAGGAGGCAAAAAACAGAGCACAGGGGTGGGGGGGAGGCCGTGCAGCACACAGACATATCCATATGCCCCCTTTTGCCTCCTGGGCCTCAGCGAAGCCTCCTGAGTAAAGCACTAAGACACCGAAGGGGATCCCGGCATAGCTGATTATCAGAACAGCTGATCATCGGGAGGAGAAAAAAAATACTGGTTCAGCCAAACCAGTAGCTAGTTTTTTTTACTACTGGTTCAGCCTCCTGGGTGAAGCAGTACGATAGTGAGGGGGATCCCAGCACAGCTGATCATCAGAACAGCTGATTGTTGGGAGGAAAGAAAAGAGAAAAAAGAAATACTGGTTTGGCTGAACTGATAGCTAGTATTTTACTACAGGTTCAGCCTCCTGGGCAAACCAGTAAGACAATGAGGGGGATCCCAGCATAGCTGATTGTTGGAACAGCTGATCGTTGGGAGGAAAGAAAAGAGAAAAAAGAAATACTGGTTCAACTGAACCAGTCGCTGTTTTTTTACTACTGGTTTGGCCGAACGGTAGCATTTTTTATACTACCGGTTCACCCGAATCCCACCAGTGCTTATGGATCATAATGGGTAGGTTCCATTATGGACATAAGTTGAATATTGGCTGTATGGCAGCAACCTTCCCAACATTTGGGGGCTGGGGACTGGTTCTCTGGAGGGCAGTTTTTCTGTGGACTCTCTCTCTCTCTCTCTCTCTCTCTCTCTCTCTCGTCTGTGTGTGTGTGTGTGTGTGTGTGTGTGTGTGTGTGGTAGCACATACTGCCTGAATACTATGTGTGCATGAATAGGGCTTTGCTCACTTGTGCAGTCCAGTTCCTGGCAGGCCACAGCCCAGTTTTGGTCTGCAGCCCAAAAAGTTGGGGACCCCTTCTGAATAGGAGAATGTAGAAACATACCATGTACTTAAACAAGCATTATCCTTACCACATTTTCAATAAAACGCTGTCTTTGACTGTCTTTTTCTATATAAGTGTACTGGAATCTAATAAACTCTAAAATATTATTTTTTGAGCTCCACTAACAGTCTTGATATACAAGTTAAGATACTCCCTGAAAATATAGGAGCATTGAATCAACATATGGGTGATGTAGATGATATTATTTTTAACACACTCTGGTGTTAAAAGATAAATATTATCTGTCAGATCTCAGCCATCTTGGCACACAAATTCTGTTTGCTTGAATATTTTGATTCACAGACAAAAGAATTCTACACAGGGAAGAATAGTAATTTTCGGAAATAGTAATAGCGTGTTCCAAAAATTGCCTTCTGGGTGTTTTTTGTGTTGCAGCTGATACTTTTATTTGTAAACATGGTTGCAAGACCGTGCTTCTTCAAGAAACAAAAGGCACTTTTGTTAGTATGCAAGCACCAAAGAACAATATATTTCCAAAGACAGAAAGGTTGAGATGGAAGGAGGCTGTGGGAAAGTAACTAGCCATTTTTAAATTCAAGTCATTCTTTGTGTTTTATAATATTATTGGAAATTGTTTAGATAAATGGTATACTTTTCTTCATGGTTAAGAAGTGTCCTTTGCATAGAGTGGTCAAAAAAAGAAGGAAGGAAGGAAGAAGGAAAAAGAAAGAAAGAAAGAAAGAAAGAAAGAAAGAAAGAAAGAAAGAAAGAGAAAGAAAAAAGGGAAATAGTTATAATTTGTCTTCAATTGATGAATGACTGACAAATACGTTTTGTATGCCATAGATTCATATCCGTTCATTCATATCAAAATACAGATTAGGAGATTGGCAGGGGATAAAATACAGCTTAGGAGATTGGCAGGGGATAAAATACAGGCTTCAGTTTTGATGGTGGAGGAATCACGGGACCACAGGGATAACCCAACGGTCATAAGTGAACACTGCAACCGTCATAAATGTGAAACCAGTTGCCAAATGTCTGAATTAGGATCACAGGAGTGTGCAGTTGCCACCAAGTTTGTAACTGGGAAACACGGTCCTCCTAAACTCTTTTTTTCTTCAGTGCCATCGCAACTTCGGTCACTCAGCGAACTGTTGTAAGTCGAGGACCACCCGTACGTGGTGGTCCGAGCCCAGGGCAGGGGGAAGTCTCCCGCCGCCCCTACCCTGAGCCAAGGCAGGGTCTCTTGCGGAGCTGAGCGCCGGCAGCTCCGGAGAGCCCCGTTGGTGCTGAAGGACAGCTCCCTTGGCCGGAGAACGGCTCTGGGTACCGCTTCCTTGGCGCTCGGTGTCTCGGCTGGATTTGAACCCAGCTCCAAAGGGCGCTCCGTGTGTGTGTGTGTGTGCGCGCGCGCGCGCTCGTGTGTATGTGTGTGTGTGCGTGCCGGATTAAACAATAGGAGCCACGCGTCCTTTTTCCACGCCTACAGCGGCGGCGGCAGCAGCAGCAGCAGCAGCAACTGCATTAAGAAGAAAGCAGCCGGCGTGGCCGGGAAACCAAAGGCAGAAGGAGCAACGCCTCGCCGGCTCTCTCTCCTTTGGGCGCCCTTGCGCGGATCTGGGGAGGGGGGACAGCAAGCAGGGCACCCCGGACTTCCACGACTGTCTCCCCCTCCCCACCCCCGCGAGCAGCCCAGCCTAGTCCAGCCCAGCGGCTGCCGGGACCGAGCCGCCTCTCCTTGGCCGGGGGAGGCTTTTCCACGGGAAGAAGTTACCGGAGCTGCCCACCTCCCGCTGCTTTTACTTGGCCGGGTGGGGGTGGGGGTAGCAGGAGATCAGACAGGGCCACCCAGACGGGCTGAGCCCCTCCGCCGCGGGCGGCTCCGGAACTTCGATTGTCCCACGCGAGGGTCTTCCCGGGCCGCCCCCCTCCCAGCGGCCACCTTCCTGGCCAGCCCCACCTCCTCGCAGTAACATCTGGACCCCCAGCCCCCCCCCCCGCTCCAAGAGTTAAAGGTCGAGAGGCGGGAAGGACTGGATAGGGTGGGGGTCGCCCCCGGCCCTCGCCGCCCCGTTGCCCCCCAGCCGCCTCGGATGGGCTTCCCTGCGGTCGTTTCAGCCGGAGAGAGGCCTCCCGCTCGCCAGCGCCCGGAGCTCCAGAGCCGGGACTCGCCCGTTCCGCTTGGCCCGAGAAAGGACCGGCCTCCGCTCGGCTGCCGAGGCCGGCAGTCGCCGCTTCCTGAAGACAGGCCGGCCGCCTCCCTGCACCCGAGCGCGGCTTCCTTTCTTTCGGCCTCGCTGGTTCCTGACTCGGCCCGGAGCGCGCCTCCATCCTCCGAAGGAGGCGGCTGGAAAGGCCCCGAAGGCAGCCAGCTAACCCCGTAGCCCGCAGCCCCCCGAACGCCCCCCCCCGCCCAAGCTAGCCAGCCCACCGGCTTCCCAGTGCCCCAGCCAGCCAGCCAGCCAGCCGGCCGCCCCCCCCAAACCCGGGCCCCAGCCAGTCCTCCCACCCACCGAGCCAGCCCCCAGGCCCTTAATACCCAGGCACTCAGGCAGCCAGCTCCCCAGACCCCCCAGCCCGCCCCCCAACCATCTAGCCTCCCAGCCAGCCAGTCTCCAGCCAGCCCCCGAGGCCCCAGCCCCCCAATACCCAGGCATCCAGATCCCTACCCCCAGCCCCCAGCTCTCTAGCCCCTCTCAGGCAGCCCCCCAGCCAGCCTCTCAGCCCTTCCAGGCCGCCCCCAGCCCTCGACTATCTAGCCCCCCCATCCAGCTTCCGAGCCGCACCCCCCCAATACCCCGGCAGCCAGCCCCTCAGCCCCCCCAGCCCCCCCCCCCCCCGCCGCCCGCTATCTAGCCCCTCTCAGCCAGCCTCCAGCCAGCTGCCGAGCCCCCAGCCCCCCAATACCCAGGCAGCCAGCCCCATAGCCCCCCAGGTCGCCCCCAGTCAGCTAGCCTCCCCGCACAGCCCAGCCCCCAGTCAGCTACCCGCCCCCCCAGCCAGCCTCCAGCCAGCCCCCGAGCGCCCCCCCCACCCCAGCCAGCTAGCAGCCCCCGCCGCGGCTGCGCTCGTCCCCTCCTCCCGCCCTCCCCCCCCACCCACCCCGCGGGCGCATTTGCATGGTCCCGGTCCCCGGAGCGGCCGGGCGGAGGGCGGAGGGCGAGGATGGCCGGGCGGCGTCGGCAGGGCGTCCGGAGCAGCGAGGGGGAGGCCGACGAGGACCTGCCGGTCTACCTGGCCCGACCCGGCACGGCGGCCCAGACGCCTCGGCAGAAGTACGGCGGGATGTTCGCGGCCGTGGAGGGCGCCTTCGAGAACAAGACCATCGACTTCGAGGCCTACAGCGTGGGCCAGAAGGGGGGAGGCCGCACCCCGCGCAGCGGCAGCCGCTCCGAGCAGCTGGACCGAGCCGGCGGCGACGACGACGGCGGCGGTAGCGAGGTGTGCGGCTCCGGCTCCGGCTTCGGCTCGCCCGGTGGGGAGACCGACGGCCGGCGGCTCCTTTGCCTCGAGCTCCGGCCCCCGCTGGCCCACGAGCCCTGGCGGGGCCCCGAGGAAGGCAAGGTAAAAGTCTGGGGTGGGGGGCGTGTGTGTGTGTGTGGGTCTCTGGGCCTGGGGTTTGGGGGGGCGGGAGAGGAAGGTCCCGGGCAGACCTGGGTGGCCATTCCCCCCCCCCACCTTAGCCGGGGATCTCCCTCTCTCCACGCCCCTCCCAGTTCTTCCCTCCCCCCACCGCACCTTCCACCCTCCACCTCCCCCCAGCTCCCGCGAGGGTCTCAAACGCAGCCCGTGTAATCCTGGAGGGGTGCGGGGTGGGGGTGGGGGTGGGGAGGGGATTCGGAGCTGGCCAGATGGCAGGGGGATAGGCAAATAAATCCGCCCTGGTTTTGAGGTGAGGCTGGGCAGAAACTCTCCCGGCCTCTTCTTTGGGTTTAACGTTTTTATTGAGGTTATAAGATGAAATACAATGAAAGTAAATGGGGGGGTGGGGGGGGAGGGAAAAGGAGGAAGAGAAGCCAGGAAGGGTAGGGAAAGCAAGAGAAAAATGGACTTCCGACTCTCTCTGTTGCAGTAAAATGGGGCATTAACATCAAATCACAACTTTCTGTTGTGTCATAATGATATAGAATAGAATAGGAAAAAAACAAGAATGGAATAGAAATAGGAATAGGAATAGGAATAAAACTAGAATGGAATGGAATGGAATAGAATAGAATAGAATAGAATAGAATAGAATAGAATAGAATAGAATTCTTTTTTATTGGCCAAGTGTGATTGGACACACAAGGAATTTGTCTTGATGCAAATGGTCCCATTGTACATAAATGAAAAGATACATTCGTCAAGAGTCAAGAATAATCGGGTACAACTCTTAATAATAGTCATAGGGTACTATAAGAATAGAAATAGAAATAATAGAAATACCGTGTTTCTCATAAAATAAGGCCGGGTCTTATATTTTTTTTGAGCCCCCAAAAAATGGCTAGGCCGTCTTTTTGGGGGTGACTTAATTCCCTCCCTTGCATCCTCATCTAAAGCGCCCCGCGGGCAGCCTCACCACCAGCCGCTCCTAATGGGTGATCATGGCGAAGTGCAGAGAGCTCTCTACTCCCACCAAACACCATTGCTGCAGACCCAAGACCTTTGGCACCCGCCGCTGTTGCTTTCCCTTCTGCCCATTCCGCCGCCACATTTGGAGCTGCCGCTTCGGTGTTTGGAGTGCCGCCGCCATTTGGAGCACCACCATCATGTTTGGAGCTGCCACTTCTGCATTTGGAGCTGCCGCCATGTTTGGAGTGGTGGTGGCGCTCCAAATGGCGGTGGCGCTCCAAACAGCGGCAGTGCTCCAAACGCGGAAGCGGCAGCTCCAAACATGGCGGCAGCTCCAAATGCGGACATGGCAACTCCAAACAGCGACAGTGTTCCAAACAGCGGTGGGGTTCCAAACGCGGAAGCGGCAGCTCCAAACGCGGTGGCGGCATGGGCAGAAGGGAAATGAACAGTGGCGGGCGCTGAAGGTCTTGAATCTGCCGCAAAGGTGCTTGGCAGGAGAAGGGAGCTCTCCACGCTCTGCCATGATCGCCCATTAGGAGCAGCTGGTAGCGAGGAATTGCTGCCCGTGGGGCGCTCCTAACGGCAAGTCCCCCCGTCCTTCCCCCCATTTTCCATGTTTTAAAATAGGCCTAAATTTGGGGGAAGGGCTTAATTTCATTTTATGCCTAGAAAACATGCTGGGTCTTCCTATTGGGGGAGGTCGTATTGTTGGAGAAACACGGTAGAAATAGAAATAGAAATAGGGAATAAGGAATAGAACAGAACAGAATAGAATTCTTTCTTGGCCAAGTGTGATTGGACACACAAGGAATTTGTCTTTGGTGCAAATGCTCTCAGGGTTCATAAAAGAAAAGAGACATTCATCAAGAGTCCAGAATCATCAGGTACAACACTTAATAAGAGTCATAGGGTTATATAGTCATCGGGTATATAGTAAATAGAAAATAGTCATAGGGTACAATAAACAATCAAATCATACTAGGAACCAATCAATAAAAATCGTAAGGATGCAAGCAACAAAGTTACAGTCATACAGTCACAAGTGGGAGGAGATATGAAAAAAGCCATTTCTATAAAGATCTGTCAATCTAATTGGTAAAACCCAAAATCCAAGTTTCATTCTTGTCTGCTTCAATCACAAGGTTCAATAAATAAAAGCACAGATATTCTTTTCTTTAATCAAAGTAGTCAGTTTTGCCCTTTTCAGCCAATTCCATCACCTTCTGCAACCATTCTTCCATGGTAGGAATTGAAGGGTCCTTCCATTTTTGTGTATGCAAACAGTCTTGCTTTCATCAACATATATAATAACAAAGTTCCATTTTTTTTTCACCAGATCTTTTTCCATTAGGCCCAAAAGGAAAGAAAAAACTTCATCCAATTTCATCTTTATCTCCATTTTCAAAATTTTCTGCATTTAAAATAGGGATCCTACTCCAATATTTTTTGGTGCTTTATCGCGTGCCCACTGTGGGGAGGGAGGCTTCGCTTCTTCTGACATGCCCCTCCCCCCTTTCCTCCTCCTCCTCCTCTTCTTCCTCCTCCTCCCCTCTGCCAACCTCACTTCCTTCTAGCACTGATGATGTTCCCTAGTTGGGTCATGAAAGGTCTTCAAGAAGATGAGCAAACTCAGAGAGCTCCAAGGAACCTTCTGTCATTATCCTCCCCTTTCCTCCTCTTCCTGCTTCTCTTCCTCTTCTACTCCACAAATACCATTCTCTTCTAGCACTGATGAGGTTCCCTAGTTGGGTCATGAGAAGTCTGCAAGAAAACCACCCAGTGATCCTTCCTTCCTCTTCCTCCTCTTCCTTCTCCTCCTCCTCTTCTTCCTCCTCCTCTTCCTCTCTGCCAACCACACTTCCTTCTAGCACTGATGATGTTCCCTAATTGGGTCATGAGA